ATCTGGCCCTCCTAAAAATGTGTGCATGCAAAAATGAATAAATAAACATACCAATACAAGTCAAAGTCATATGTAAAACTAGAGAAAATGTTTGCAACACAAAGACAAATAAAAAGGAACCTCTACAAATCAACTTAACAACAACAAAAACCTACAACTCAAAAGAAAAATGAACAAAGAAAATCAGAAGCTCTCATACAAAAGTAATCCAGATGACCAATAAACATAAAGCTATTCAATCTTATAATCAAAGAAACATAAATCACTAAAACAAGATGCCACTTTTCATCTGCCAAACAAGCAAAAATTAAAAAGAGATATAGTACATAATATGGGCAAAGGTGAGCAGAAACAGTCTCTCATGCACTATGAAGCAGAGTGTAAACTGAGTATGGGGGCGTGTTTATGGGAATTTGGCACTGTGCTTCAAAATTATGTATGTTGAAGTTCTTTGAGCAATTTTACTTCCCAAAGAGTATATTTTCATACAAGATAATGTTCAAGGACATCTACTATAACCCTCTTTAAAACAGTGAAACTTTATTTTTTTTTTAATTTAAAGATTTTTATTTATCTATTGACAAAGAGAGAGATATCACAAGTAGGCAGAAAGGCAGGCAGAGAGAGAAGGAAGCAGGCTCCCTGATGAGCAGAGAGCCCGAAGTGGGGCTCGATCCCAGAACCCTGGGATCATGACCTGAGCCGAAGGCAGAGGCTTTAACCCACTGAGCCACCCAGGCACCCAGGCGCCCCAAAATAGTGAAACTATAAAGCAGAGAACCATCTACATGCCCATTAACAAGAACTGGTTAAATAAATTATGATATAGTCATTCAATAAAATACTTTGAGGCAGTGAAAAAGTGTTAAGTAGAACAAAAACTGAACAAGATATATAATACAACCCATTTGTTTTTAAGCAAAAAGATATATGAATGTGGAGGCATACTTGTATATGCGTGTAAATTTCTTTAAAAAAAAAAGATTTTATTTATTTATTTGACAGAGAGAGACACAGTGAGAGAGGGAACACAAGCAGGGGGTGTGGGATAGAGAGAAGCGGGCTTCCCACTGAGTAGGGCAACTGACTCAGGGCTTGATCTCAGAACCCTGGGATCATGACCTGAGCCAAAAGCAGAAGTTTAAGGACTGAGCCACCCAGGCACCCCTGCATGTAAATTTCTTAAAGGATACAAAAGAAGCTGCTAACTATGCCTACTTCCAGAAAACCAATAAACAGGGAGGTAAGGGAGCACATTTTACATTATACGCTCAGAAGGAAGATTTTAAAACAATAATAAATATAACATATTATAATATATATTTTATACATATGTAAATTTTTCAATTATCTGAAATTTTGAAATGTATTCCCAAATATGCCCGATGTCATTTCCCCCAACTTAGCAGCTAAAATTAAACCTGTATTCTTTAGCTCTTTTCAAGAACTATATGAATAAATTCCCTTCTCTACACATAAAATTTTCTAGCCACCATGAGGTCGTTTTTCTCCCTATTCTCATGTACAAAAGCCTCTCAGGCCTTGTTCTCTCCTTAGAACTCCTAGAACTGTGAGGACTCCAGTCGCCACCATTTTTTTGCCTGCTTACCCCAGCTCCCTCATCACTCAGATCAAGTCACATCCATTAGTCTCACAGCGCTCCCGGTTTCTCCCTGTCATTGTTGTAATTTTATACTTCTGTAATCATTTCATGAATGCCCATCATCCGCACTAGACTGTAAGCCTGATACAGGGCAAGTCTTTGCTCATTATTACATTCCAAGTACCATGGCAGCATGTCATAGTTGCTAAATAAGTATCTATTAAATAAATAAATCCTTACTGCCTTGCATGTAGCAAATGCTCAGGAAGTGTTATTCATTTACATGGCATCGTAGAGTGTGTGCTAGGAGGAGTAGGGATAAAGAAAAGAATTGTCAGGGAACTGAGCAAGTACCTGGTTGAGGATAACGAGCATTAATTTGTGTCCTTTGTGAATTTCTTCAGACCTAGAGCAAGAATAATTATCCAGAATGAGGAAATGGCTAGGAGAGGACTTGCAAAAGCAGCCTTAAAACAACTGACTGGGAGGTATGGCCTTGAAAGGAAAGAAGAAAGGCCTTTCCCTCTGCTTGGAATACCCCATCTTCACACCCCATCCCCTATATTCTGGGTCTAGTGAAACATTAATTCTTTAAACCAGCACCAAATGTCCCTCCTCTATAAAGGCTCCCATAGCGTCCAAATGAAAGTATCTCTTCCTCTTTGTTCCCAAGGTTCTCCACAGACTTGGTTATTATATAACCGTCAATCATACCACTTCTCATGTATCTTGATAAATCCAAAGGTGTCAAATCTTGTTTTACTTGATCCATTCATTCATTATATTTGACAAAAATGAACACACTACTCAGCCCTGAATTCCACGCTAGTCCCTGTCCCTCACTAGCTATCTATTCTGTCCCCTCTGCTGGTTTTTCATTTCCCCAAACCTATGAAGGTTAAAATGCCTAAGGACTCAGATCTTATACTACTTTTCTGTTTACATTCACTCCTTTGGTGATTATCTCCAGTCTCACAATTTTAAGTACCATCTGTTCACTGACAACTCCCAAATGTTCTTTTCCAGCAATGAACTCTGCCCCACTGAACTCCAAACTCGGTAGACTCAACATCTCCACTTGGATGACTAACAGACATCCCAAACCTAACATGTCATAACTGAACTCCTAATCTTCCCCCACACACCTGCTTCTCCCTTAGTTTTTCACTTCTTAGTTAATGGCAATTCCACCCTTCAACTTGCTCAAGTCCCTGACAATTAGTTCACTCTTATAATCCACAGTCAATCCATAAACAAATCTGTTAGCTTAACCTACAAAATACATCCAAAATTGAACTCTCACCACACTCACTTCTTTTCACCCTATGAAGCCACTGTATCTCATGTGAATTATTACAACACCTTCCTAACTAGTCTCCTGGTTTTTGCCTACCACACTCTACAATAATCTGCTCTTAACATATCTATAGCCAGAGTGATCCTGTTAAAAACCTCAATCGGATCATGACACTCCTCTGCCCAGAACATTCCACTGGTTATTTATCCTTTATGCTATTCCTTCAAAACGGGATTTATGTTGCATGACATTTGCATCTGCCCAAGACTAACACAATGTCTTGCCACATATTAGGTACTTAGTAACTGTTACCCCTTCAAAACCAATTAAAGTAAACTCCCGACACATTTTGAGATTCTTAATATCAGATTAGAGATTGTACTTAAAGATATTAGGAAGTCATACATGGATCTAAAAGAAAACTATACCATAAGGTACATACTAGGGCTATTTCCATTCCTATGCTAAGTAGAGTTACATACAATTATGAACTAAGCCAGAAAAAATCCAATTTTATAAATTTTTTGAGACATCTGCGGATGTCGCACCAGAATTCTATTACCATAACGACCTTTTTTTGCCCTGCATTTATCTTAGAAAATAATGCTGAAACACACATACAACAATCTATCAATTATATTGCTCCTTTGGCAGACAGTCCACATCGATGCCTCCTTTAATTCCCTTCAAACTTACAGTAAAATCCCTGAGAAAAGATATTTTTTTCCTTTTAAAGGTCTTAACCTCTAAAAAACAAATTTATCCCAAAGTCTGAATAAAGATACAAATTACAAAAGATTGCTCAGATTTGAGATGAATAATTACATCAGATTATAATGAATTTACTTCTATTATTTAATGCTAATGTTTAACTCAAAGTATTTTCAAAACTAGATATGAAGCAGAAAATTATCTTGGAAACCATGGAATTTGCTTATTATAATATTCTTATCTCTAAAATAATAACCATATATAGGACTATTGTGAAAGTTAACTGAGTAACATTGGTAAAGCTATTAGAACAATGCTTGGCTCAGTTACTGCTCAATACATTAGCTTACAGTAATAGTTATTAATTTACTAAAGTGAAAATGACCAAATACCCTAATCCAGTGTGGACTATTCAAAACCATACTTGAAGGGTCAACTGGAATCACTAGCTGAGATAACACATACAAAGAACCATTTGAAAATTAAAATCAGTTTTATGAAAAACTGTATCACCTCTGACCTGTGATACAGACAACATTAACTATCTGAAGGCAGCTATAACACCCTGTAACATTTTGGAAAACCACTGTTCACGGGGTCGTTATTTTATCTTTCAATAAAGAGTTCTAGCATGTCTACAAATCACAAACGGTTCTCTGAGTTTCAATAGGAATTGTCTTTATTTTCGGATCCATCATTTTCAGATCCAACGTCAAAATACAGTTAATTCTCCGTTTAGTATATTATCAGACAGTCCAAAGAGATTAATAAGCGGGGCATATACATCTTTATCAAGCCAAAACTGAACTGCAGTCAACACACAGAAGGATATTAAAGATAATTTAAACAGAAATTTTATTTTGAACCGCACCCAGCTTTCCTGAGGCATAAAGACTTTGTAGAGATTATCGACCACAGATTTCGACTTTAAATCGAAATTAGCCTACCATCTCAGGTGGGCTGATGGCAGGCCGTCTGTGAATGATAAACCGTGATAACATAGTAAAGGTACTTCCCTACACCGTACACTTTGGCCTCCGTCCCTAAACAAGATTTGACCGCAGCTGGAAATTGTGAAGTCATTTTATTTCTCCTTCACCTCCCAATATTTAAAAGGAGGAGCTGAGGAGGAAAAACTAAAGGCCAGACCGAGAGATTGGTGAGAGGCCAAGGTTAGCCAAAGGCGGCAAGCAGCCGCAGAACAAGCCGAAGTGGGGGTCCTGCAACAACGCAGCCTCCAACGCTCGGGTGAGAGGGAACTCATTCGCGACGGCTACGCAGCCCGACCCGCTCATCTCAGTCAGCCCGGGGATGAAAAGGGGAACTCCCAGAAGAAGCAAGCTTTTGCAGAAACACGAGAAAAATTCAAACCCCAGCTTTGAATAATACCTCACTGGCCTTCTACTCCTGTCTCCCGGAAAAGCAGTCGGGCGGTGCTGACGTCAAAGAGGCGCCGTCTCTGGCCGCAGCGCCGGCGTCGCTCTCTGATAACCTCACGCCGCTCGCCCAGCCCCGGCTCCTTTTCCCTGGCCCTCCACCTTCCGAGGTCTTCCGTCCAACCTGTGGAAGGATTTGGGCCAAGAAGGGGGTACCTTTTGCTAGATTTCTATTCTTGGGACACCCATTATAATACAAGTTGAGCATACTTAACCAGAAAAAAAAAAAGTTAGTTATTAATGCTTTGTTCAGGTTTTTATTTTTGCCAAAACTCGTTCCAGGACCTTGGTTCTTAACTACACCCCCAAATGGCTGCCTCAAAATTAACGGCCTAGGGCGGACTCCCAAATTATCTGTGGTGAAACAACAAGTTCTTTAATTCATCACTGAAAGATTCCTTTGGGGTCACCTGGGTGGCTCCAGGATGGAGCCCCTCAGGCTCACTGATCAGCGGGAAACCTGCTTCTCCCTCTCCCACTCCCCCTGCTTGTATTCCCTCTCTCATTGTCTCCTTCTATCAAATAAATAAATAAAAGCTTTAAAAAAAAAAGTTACCTTTGTAAAGTACAGCAAAAATGAATTTATTGAAAAATGGAAAAAATAGGCAAAATACAAGTACGGATTTTTCACTATTAGTTTCAGTAAGCATAAAATTATATTAATAAATACAGTCAGAATATGAGAGGGAAAACTGCTAATTGGAAATGTAGTACAATAGTCCCCCCTAACCATGGTTTCACTTTCTTTGGTTTTAGTTATCTGAGGTCAACGGCAATCCAGAAGTGCTTGAGCCTTCCTCGGATGAATTATTAGGTCAAGAGTCGCCTAACACCATGTCAGGATGCCTGCACCTTTTATGTCAGTTTATCTCATCACATAGGCATTTTGCCATCTCATGTCATCACAGAAAGAAGGGTGAGTACAGTACAATAAGGTATTTTGAGAGACCATATTCACATAGCTTTTATTACAATATAGTGTTCTAATTGTGCTATTTTATTAATTAATGTTGCTAATTTCTCAGTGTGCCTAGTTGACAAATTAAACTTTGTCATAAGAATGTATGTATAGGAAAACGACAGTATATACAGGGTTCAGTACTGCCTGCCCAGTTTCAGGCATTGGGGCGGGTGTTGGGTCTTGGACTATAGTCTCTAATGACAAGGTGGGGACTACTGTAAGCGATTAAGAGCATCATTTTTACATTTGTAACTTTTTATATGTGATACATATATAATCTGTAATCAGTATATTGTATGCCTTAAACTAATACAATATAATCAAATCATTATATTGTATGCCTTAAACTAATACATTATATTGTATCCCTTAAAACTAATACAGTGTTGTAAGTCAGTTATATCTCATTAAAACTGGCAGGGATTGGGGAATGGAGAGGAGAAGAAAAAAAAGAAGTTATCTAAAACTCTGGCCACAGGGTGGGAAAAATGCCTCCTGAAAGCATTTGAAAACCACTGCCTTATGCTACATCACAGTTTCTGTTACTCTATTTCACATCAGGAGGCTGAATTCACCTTAGTGCTAGTGAATACTCCAGCTCTTAGCTACAATAAGAGACTCAAGATTTAACAAAATAGGTGGCCTTGGCAGTGGGAGATAAAGGCACTGACCGCATTCCCAGAGTACATCAACTCCTTCCCATTCGATTACTTCACAGTACAAATGATGATGGATGATGCAAAAAGTAGCTGTTCAGGACAAACTAGCTATGTGACCCTAGGCAAGTCATTTAATCTCTCTGATCCTTACTATTCTCATTGGGAAAAATAGAGCTGATAATGACATGAGACAAATGAGGCACCCCAAGTGCTTTCCCTAGTGTCCAGCACAGAGTAAGCATTTAATAAATATTATTTATTAGTAACAGGAATTATCACCATACAATATTATCACTAAAATAAAGGAAATTAGAAAACTCTAATGTTGATAGAAAAAGAAAATTCTGATGTTGAATTTGGGAAGTTTCTTAGATCTTAGTATTCAAATTGTGTATAATAAAATTAGGTTCCCAATTAATATCAGAGTAAAATACTAGAACTTTTTTTCTATCTTCTGGATGATAACAAAAGAAAATCACTATTTTACAGCCCTCGTAATAATAAACTCAGGTGAGAGTCATCAGTAGGTGCTGGAACTGTTAGGTGAAAGTTTGATGGAGAGCAGGACATTTACACCCCCTTAAAACACTTCATCATAGGTTATTTTTGAATTATGAAAGTAAAAGCAGTAATTTTACCATAGCTAAAGCTGGTAGATATAAAACCAAGTGTTCTATTTCAGCATCACTAATGGGACAAACTAACATCATATGTTTCCTTTTGTGATGCATTAAGACCAAATCATCATTTAATGTGTTATTCCTGCCATAAGGGTATTATCTGAGTCTGATCCTCAGGAAATATCAAACACAACCAAAGTGAGGGACATTCTTGAAAAAAAAAAAAAAAAAAAAAACAAAATTGAGAAAATTTTTTAAAAAAAAAAAAAAAAAAAAAGCTCTACTTTAGAAATGTTCATGTCATTAAAGATTAAAAATGAAGAAGAAAAGAACTGTCCTAGATTGAGAGACTAGAGGGACCAACAGCAAAAGGCAATGTGTGATCCTGGATTAGATCCTGAATCAATGAAGAAGAAAAAAAAACTCTGCAAAGAATATTATCGGGGCAGTTGGTAAAATTGAATATAGATTTTATATTGTATAATAGTTTAAATCTAAGTTAATTTTTTTGTATTTGATAATTGCACTGTGATTATGTTAGAGAATGTTCTTGCTCCCAGGAGATGCATGCTAAAATATTTAGATTAAGGGTAAAGGGACATGTTGTCTACAATTTACTCTCAAATAGTTCTGAAAAAATACTAATAATAATAGTAATTATATGTGAAAAGAGATATCAGATGTGGCAAAGTGTTTGGTTTATTTTTTTTTTTTAAGATTTATCCATTTGTTTGAGAGAGAGAGTGGGGGAGGGGTTAGAGGAAGAGAATCTTCAAGTAGACTCCCCACTGAGCACAGAGCCCAATGTGGGGCTTGATCTCAAGATCCATGAGGTGGTGACCTGAGCCAAAACCAAAAGTCAAGCACTTAACTGACTGAGCCACTCAGGTGCCCCAACTGTTTTGTTTATAATTGGTCAATCTAGGTGAATGATATGAGAGAGATCATTGTATTATTCTTGTAACCTGTCTATAAATTTAAAATACAAAAGAAAAAAAGAAGGAAGGAGATGGGGAGAGAAAGAAAAGAGAAAGACAAGACAAGACAAAACGGAGGGGAAAAAAGCATGGTGGATGGGAGAAATTCAGCCCTCTAGCTTTGTGGGTGGTTTGTTTACAAGACTCCTGTCTTGTTTGTGACCTTTAAAGACCTGGGATGAAATAATCACCACAGATAATGGTCTATATGTATGAAATATCACTGTGCAGAATATTGCCCATCGCTACCCTCATCCCCTCCCTCAATTTTGAAAAGTAAAGTGCAGGTCATACTAATATTAACAATTCCAATAACAAGCTTTGTTTCTATCTTTGTTTCTTTGTTTCATATATCATGGATTAAAAAACAACTGTGTACTGGTTCATAAGCATTTGGAAGTTTGTTCTCATTCATTGACCTCATTGTTTAATCATTGAGCCAAAAATGGCTAAATCACTGTCCCTACTTCTCACGCTGGATATTGAGAATAAATAAGCAAGTGAGTCTGCTTTACCACTCAGCTTCCCTGCACTCCACTCCCTCTTCCAATCTTGCAGGAGAGGGACTGATGGAGAGTAAGCTTTTCTCAGGCAGATAGGTACAGAGGGATGGAAATCTCTGCATGTATGCCCAGCTCCATGTGGGGCCCTGACTTGCTAGTTCAGAAGACAATCTGCAGTCTAACTCCACCTGATTTCACTTCTGCTGTAAGAAACAGAAAAATTACAGATAATGAGAATTTAGGAGCATATTAGGCTTAGTTCAGGGGAGGTCATTAGTGTTTCATGGCACCCTGAGGAAGAATGCCCAGATGGTAAGAATATTCTATCTTGAAACCAAGTAGGAGATTCTAGGTGATGAGCATTTAATCTCATCACTATCTGTACTGTTTGTCTAATTAATCTAAATAAATAAGCCTCTTCCTCTTCTATTTCTTTTATCTTTTTATTTCTTTGCGCTTTTTTCTTCCTTCCATCTTTTTTTTTTTTTTTTTTTTTGGTTGTTGATGCTGTTGTTTTGTTTTCTGAGTGTTGAGTACTTGATTCACTTGAACCATCTGGTTGGATGAGAAAATTTAAGCTAGGTTGTCAGCTCAGAAGTCATTCTAAATACAAAAAAGAGGTCTATTTTTCCCTTATTGTCCTTGTCCTTTCACATTGCTATAACAAAATGCCACAGACTGGATACCTTATAAACAATAGACAGCTACTTCCCACAATTGTAGAATCTGAAAGTTCTGAGATTAGGGTGCCAGTAAGGTTAGGTGAAGGCTCTCTTCCAGCTGTGGACTATCAACCTCTTGTACTCTCTCTTGGGGGAGGCAGAAGGGAGTTCTCTCAGAACTTATTTAAAAGGGCACTAATCCCATCATAAGGACTCCTCCTTCATGACCTAATCACCTCCCAAAGGCCCCAGCTTCTAGTGCTATCACATTGGGCATTAGGATTTCAGCATATGAATTTGGGGGAGACGCAAATATTCAGACCATAACACTCATCTTCAACTCACTGTGCTTTATTGTCATAAATTATTTACATTAAAAAATGGTATAAAGACAAGATTTTAAAACCTCCCTAGAATTAGCCATTTCAAAAAATTCAGTAATTCAGTGCTTATTTAAGAAATTGATTCCTGTCATACTCCTTAAAAATACCCTGAAACCTTACCACATAATAACATCCTTCAAAAAAATCAATGTTTAGGGGCGCCTGGATGGCTCAGTGGGTTAAGCCGCTGCCTTCGGCTTGGGTCATGATCCCAGGTCCTGGGTTCGAGCCCCACATCGGGCTTTCTGCTCGGCGGGGAGCCTGCTTCCTCCTCTCTCTCTGCCTGTCTCTCTGCCTACTTGTGATT